GTAGGCCGTAATGACAAACAGGCACCATTTGTTCCCGCGCGACTTCGTAGCATGGAACGAACCAGCTAATCTAACAGCGCACATCCTACTGAGATCCAATCCATCAGGGCAGCTTCCGCCCGGGGACTCAAAACAATGCCGACGCCAGCTTGACCGGCATTTGAAGCTGCATAATCACCAGACAGGCACACTGAGAATGTGCCGCCAGTGTCGAATGTGGGGATCGCAGTGTAAGCATGGAGTTCGGATCTTGCAGGTGGGTTTCTGATAAACCGCAAATATCGATCGATTGGGTCTCTAGTGTGCGGGCAAGTGCATCCTCTTGGCCAATCTGTAATCAAGTGCGCAGGTTAAGGCATGTCAGTTTTACCGAGACTTGAAGACTCCAAAGGAAAATGGACGAACTGACATTTTCCGCATGGTTGAACATGGAATTTTCTATTGGATTGGAGTGACGCCCTGCGACTGTGTGTGACCTGAAACTAGAAGACAAGCGACTATTGAAGCAAGGTGGCGGAGGGTCAAAAATTAAAAGATTGAAATGGGGAGATAAAGTAAAGTTAGGGCGGAACGATAAGGATGAAAAGCACAAGAAGAGGGATAAGGAGACGAGAAAGCCTGAGCAGTAGCATCCAAACCCCTATCAACCCTGCTCGATGCAGCAGATAGGGCGCCGTTGCTTATCCTCTGCGACTGCCAGGGCATCAAGAAATGGTTAGAAGAAAGGTTCATTGTATTGTGTGGGCAAAATACTGTCAGGTTGCCCAGGCCTATACAGGAGAACTAGGGGTGTCGAACAAAGCTTTTGGTTCAAAAACCTTACCGCACTGCAGCGGGGTTTTGGCACTGGACTACAGAGAGCCGTTGTATGGAGTAAGGAGCCACCCTCATTCCAACCCCCAACCTGGAGGGCCAAGAGATTGAGTTTGTCTGGCCTTTAACCAATGACCAATCTGGTATGAGTGGCACTGAACATGTAAAAAATCACCACCCATCATAGCTCATTGGGGCCCTGAGGCAAACAAACCATCGCACTAGGTTAAGGTCCAGTCTCGTGACTCACTGTACCATTTGTATGGTACGGGCGATGTCGCGGTTTGAGGTGATCCACACTCCGGTACGCGAGTGGCTGCTGTGCTATCAAACACTCGGTCATGCTATGTACCATAGCCGTACGTTATTTTCTAAAGTCTCATCACTCACGGGCTGACAATCTTTCGTCCTGAGATTATTCTCTTCATGTGTGCACACCGCTACTGTAATATAAGCCATCCAAGAATGTGGTGCTCGGTGGCCGTCTATGGTAGTCTCAAATCTTTCACCACACCAAACAATGCTTGCATCTCTCTTCACACTAAGTGGACTGCATATAATCTGTTCTCCTCCATTTCATCAGCTTCTCATCGAAATGATCATGAGTGACTAGGGTGCTTCTTTTCACTTCTTCTCGGGCAACGCCTCTGTTATGGAACCAGCTATCAAACATTGGATCGGACCCTGCAACTTTGTAAGTGAAGCTGAACAATTCGGCACACAGTGCTAAGCGTATCGCCATAGGTTTAACATTTTGGAATTGCGAAGAGGTATGTTGTACTTAGCTACTATCAGTGGACGTCGTGTCATTAGGGGCCAACTCAGTCCTCTGCAATGTTCGTAACTTGCATGACAGCAGAGGATAAGGCGCGCTACATCGCAGTTAGCTTGCAAATCCTGACGGCCCGAGGGTATACCCAATTGTCCAGTGGCATAAGGCGCTGACTAGCGAAGCATGCCGCTGGTGACCACGAGTTCGAATCCCGTTGGATGCACTCTACTGATGATGACCCACAGGTTGAACCTGCAGCCTAGTGTTTTTCCTGGCATGTGGACAACCATGTGATCTAAAAGCTGGTGCGATGGACTCAGTTAATTATTACATGATTATATCGATTAACTAGTTTTCGTGATCATGGAACAACCACTCAAAGTGATAGATCGGTTTTCTTATTCAATTGACTGTATCACCTTAGGTAGTCGCATCACCTAAGAGATTGCCACGTTCATGCTAAATTTGGTACGGTTTTTCAAGATATCAGTCCGTTGTGGAGACGATGGGGTATAGTCCTGTTGGTCAAAGGAAAGGTTTACAGCTTTGCGGTGGGGGCCACTGTGCTGCCGCTAGATGATGGCTTTAGGAGATTGGTCGTTTTCTACCGCCTATGCCAGCTCGATGTAACTCATAACTGATTTAAGAACCAAATAAGCTACATAAGATTCGCCACCTGGTTTTGGGCGGTGTTGCCTCACTAGGATGTCTGTTGGATTCGAATCGTCTCCGTTGACACGGCTATGTGCTCCGCATACCTGGAGGTTATTTGCCCCGACATCTTTTATTTGTTGTCACGTTACTGTTACATGAAACCCCGGGTTATTTGCTTGACCCCTAAGTAATCACGTTGGTGTTTTTATAGACCAATGGCGTTTTTTTTGCTTTTGGGCCGGTCACGTAATCGCACTTACAGGGCCCGCCGTCCGTAGGGTTCCTGACACGGGCAGTGATGTTTACCAATGGGGAATCAACCGGCATATCGAAGAGGTGATATACTGTGGAAAGTCCCGGTTTGGTGTATGCTGTAAACCACGCGAGCGACCATTCAACTATAATTATCATCAGTTATTCTAGTAATTTCCTTTTCTACAGCGGCATTTTAATTAAAATGGCTTGGGGAATGGTTGACAATACGATTTGTTGACCAAATGACATGAGATCAGCGAGAACCTAAACTGGATACTCTGCGTTATTCGCTTGATGAATATGTAAGAAATTATCAATCCACCAATTCCCTAAATGAGTCTATGTTTGGATTTCAAAAGAAGGTCGTTTTTGTTTTCCTTCACACCACAAGGCCACAACTTATACATTTCGATACTTCTACCAAAGGAGGAGTACAATGGTAGCTTACGGGCAAAATTGCAAGTGCTTAGCTAGTCCCGTAGAATGACCAGCATGAGAACCATGACATAGTGAACAGAAAACAATAATAAAATGAAAATCGTTTTGGTGGACTCACTACAGTGTTAACAAAGGCATGTAGAAACGGCCAACAGGTGTGTAAGTTAATTCTGGTTGTGCAGTTTTCGTCACATAATATCCTCTGTCCAGACACAGGCTCTATCTCGTAATGTAGGTGGGTTAAAGCAACGTCAAGGCGTTTTTCGAACACAAGTAAAGTGAGGGCGGAAACAACGTAATTTGTGAGCGCGTTCCAAGGCTGACACACACGAGGAGAGTAAAAGTTCCGACGACATTCAAGCCGACTGGATTGCATGGCTAACTTGTACTGGTGGCCCTTCAAATTTGTGTTATGGCTCCGTTGTAGTAGGTGACGGCAGACATGGTTGGGGTTCCTTAGAATCTGGTAGGCCATAATAAGGTCGCCACGTAGGCGCCGGTACCGGCCGCTGTATAATTTTTATGGTCCTCAGTCTAAGTTTATAAGGAAAGTTGAACAACCCTTTAACGTGCTTCGTAGCTCGTCGCTGTGGAGTCTCGAGCGATGCAAGATCTTGTTTTTGCCAGGGCTGCCACACTTGGATCGTGTATTCCACATGAGACCGCACGTGGGTGTTAAGCAACTGTGAACAGACAGGGGGATCAAACTGCCCGAATGCCCCCTGCAACCTACCAACGTGTTGGTTCTTAGTCTTTGACGTTTCAGATTGTTCTGAGCAGTACAAGTCAGCCTGGACTAGTACTCTAAGGTCGCGCTCCTGGGTGCCTGCTTGCAGGACATGGTCTCGAAACTTGTATATGATATCTGGCTGTTGCCGAATGTAAATAACCGAATTGAATTGGAGCAGATTGTGGAGTGACCACTCATACACACTGTCCAGGTCTCGCTGAAATGCATCATGATCCCCTGGGTCGCCGATCTTCCGCCACATATAACCTCATCAGCGAACAGCAAGAACTCTTAGAAGATCAAACGCGTAAGCTCGTTAATAAACACGAGAAACAGACGCTGCCCCAGAACCGTTGTGGAACTCCACCTTTGACCTGAATCAGATCGAACGGCGCACTTCAAACTCTGACCTGCGGATGCCGGTCCTGCAGGAAATTTCTGATCCACCCAAGAACTGGATCCCCAACTCCCTAGCTTTCGAGGCTGTGAAGCAGAATGCGGTGGTCCGGCCGGTCGAAGGCTTTGGAGGAGTCGAGTTAAATGACGTCTGTCCCTCCACCTTTATCGGCCGCTTCCTTCCAACTACCGCGTGCAATCAGTAGGTTGGTTGCGCATGAATGGTGTTGGTGGATATCGTGTTGCTTGGGTGCTGTGATGTTGTGGCGTTCTCGATGGTCGACTAAAGCCTCAGCGACGATTGCCTCCATCACCTTTGAGAGCAAAGGGAGGAGGACCAATGGGCGATAGTTGGCGGGTTTCCAGCGATTACCGCTTTTGAAAATTGGAGTGATTAAGTCATGTTTCCACATGGTGGGCACAATTTGCTGTTCCAAGCACGTTTGGTAGAAATGCGATAATGGTCCGGCCAGGGTTGTTGCTGCTACGTTCAGCGCCTTCGGGTCGATTAACTGTGACCGATATTGGTTGTCTAGAAGAACTAGGTGGCTTCTGCGCATATTTTTCCATCTCATCGACATTGTGGTGGTGGACGGGCAAGATCTACATAACGTAACACAATTTAAAAGCCAAATTACTGGACAAGCACCTATTCCTAAAGAATCCCCATGAGATTAATAAAGCCTTATATGAATGAGAGAACTTCGCTACGAAATTTTCCTGTTGGGATCTAAGCTTGTTTGGCCACATAAAAGTCACCGCGAGAACAAAAGCTCCCAGCCCATTCTGCTCCTTCAAAAAGGCACAGAAAGTGTCATTTGTGTGTAATTGCTACAAACAGTGGGATAGAGCTATCCTTCTTGCAATGAGTTTCTCTGTTAAGAACATCCAAAAAGAGATGTGGAATGTGATTCATGTATGTTGCAGAACTCAGTCCTTAAGGGACAAGCGTTTATTCAGCAGTCAGCTCAACGAAAATTACAGCATGTTTAGCAAGCCAAACTCATCGATATAAATTGCAGGTTCAAGTCCATAACTAACGACTCCTCTGAGTCGTGAGGTTCCTCCTTTGCTTCAGTCAAACAAATGTTGAATCACTCACACAAATATCGGCCAGTCCGAGTCCAGTAATCGAATCCGTCACGTTCGCCTCCCATTGACCGTCTGGCTCGCTCGGTTGGTCCATCTACTCACTCTGCTCTGATACTACCATCACAATGTACACCTGAAACAGACGAAACTAGATAAGTAGAATCAGGCTTTTCATCTTTCTCCAGTCGTAATATATGCTTCTATAAATATCTAACTACTGCAAACTTGCAAGATGTAATGAAGCAGAGAAAGCAACGCTTCCACTGAGATTCGAATGTCCGCCGTACCAATGGTAACATCAGTGATTTTGGTCCGTACCATTTTACTCACCTGTTGTGGGCTATTTCTATCGGTGTGCACAAAATACACAACGTGAGTGCTTGGGAAGACACGCGACCGCTTAACTGCTTGACGTAAGAGAAGGAAGTATCCCATCGAAATCCTCCCTAGGGAATGTGACGCATCATGGTTACACACGAAATCAGTGGCAATCTTCCACTCATCCGCCTTTTCCCGACTCCTAACCTCTCCATCCGTTGTGCAGATCCCAGTTGATAGACTGAACAGTACTGTAGTTGTTTTGTCCCAGGCAACCTTGTCTAGTTACGCCGCATGGAAAAATAATTGGCATTTTGATGCTTTTTTTAAAAAGTGGAAGGAATTGCATCCGCCTCATTCATTGGGAGGTAGCGTTAGAATAGATTACTTCAGTTACTTTTTTCCATAAATACCTAGCGGTCTGTTATTGATGCTTTAGACAAAATAGGTCATCAGTTTCCTTGCAGAATGGTGTAATTGTTAGTTGCTCGGTTTCGAAATACCCAAAGCCGAACTAGGCTATCTTCCACGTTACGTGCTGTTGCTGCGAATCTCCTCTTAAAGGAGTATATTGGGACGTCAGTTGACGTTGGTGATGAACAAGGTGGCTATGGTTTGGGTTTCTATCTTGAGGTCTACATGCTTACAATGCCCCGTCTTACCTTTTCTTTTTGTCTGAAACTAGCTCAATGCATGACGCAACTGACCAGAATAATTTGACGGGTTTTATACGATTGTTTTTATAATTTCTCGCGCAACCTTAATTCCGAATGCTGCGTAGACTTGAAGCTTGTGAGCACCGTCAAGTTTGATCGTGGTCTGCGGAAGAGGTACTAAGTTGTGCGTAGTTTGTGGATAAAGATTTGTTTCACAGGTCACAAGTGCGTCGACTTCAGCCAATCTTTTTCATGTGGCAACAAACTCCTCGCCATACGCCTAGTGTTTGCATTATCACTGTGTTCGTAATACAATCTAGCACTCACTGAATACACGATAGTGAAAAGCAAAGTCTAAAACGCAGAGAATTCTCCCTCAAGCAAACGGTTACTCAACAAAGCGATCCCGATGCTGGCTAACGGAACCAACTGGGAGCCAATGGGCAGAAAGCCAATCAACCGCTACGCTTGTGAGTCAGCGAAAGTCGCATCACATGATCCTCCTTGTCTGAATTATAGTAATATATCAGTAGTGCCTCATTTTGATAACCGCACTTCTTCTGATAGTTTCGGTAGCATAATATCAGATCACCTAGCCATCTGCTTTCTTTTTTCTAATTTTCGGCCAGGATGCTAAAAGTTGCAGAATACAGAATAACAACAAGTAGTATCCTACGTTTCACATTATGCATCGAGAGTGGGATCGTGTTTGAATGGGGGTTAAACAGTTGGAAGGGACAGGAAAACTCACACTACCAACGCAACTCTCAACGGTTTCCGACCAAGTCACAAAGTGCATCCAGCGAACCGTCTTCGTTGTCTTTAGGACCGCAGTCCGAGAGTCAAAAGGCACCAACATTGGTGCCCCTTGTTCCTGGTAACAAACTTTGATTCGCACGCAAAAGTCAGCGCACTTGATGCGGGATATATTCATCTCGGAGATATTTCACTGTTAATGCCGGGAGTGATCAAAGGCGAATACATTCATTTGTAGACAACCTGCAGGCGAATGCGCGTACCCTTTAATGTCGAACCTATGACGGTGTTGGTCATAGTGCCATCCTTTTCAAGCGATTCTGTCCCCCAATAGTTCAGCTAAAGTTCTGCAGCCTTCTTCCTTGGAGGATATCAACCATCGAGTCGGCGGCACTATATATTAAAAAACTAATTCCTGTGTCGCTGTGACCGAAGGTACCCAACACACACCAATCATTCGTATGTGAGTCGCGGTAACTTACTAATTGTTCACTGTGCAGGGGTCGGTGGGACATCTCACCGCAATACATGCGATGAGGCGTGTTTATCAGTATACTTTGGCCTGCGATCATATTGAGAAGCATCGAACTTTCAGGCTTTCCAAGTACGCCCCACAGTTTAAACCAGCTGTGCAAACGCTGCAGTCCTGCTAAAATGCGGTGCCGACCTCTAGCTTTAGATTTCTTCACATACGAATTCGTGATACAATGCCAAGTGTGCACACAGTTTGCAGTCGACAGAGGCTGTTGAGAGCCTGTAGTTTTGCTGTAGCCATTAAACATTGACTGCGTTTGTTCGTAGCCGTGTACAATTAATCATTCGCATCAAATTGAGGGTCACTGTTTGGAAGAGTTTGTCCGGTTCTCACGTGAAACTATGCTGCACATGATCGATCACTCATTTTGAAAGTGGTGCGAAGAATCCAGCGTCCCACTTGCAGGATGACCCTTAACACAAACTACAGGCATTCTCTGATTCGGCAGTCCCCAAAATTGCTACATTTAATGGAGGTTATCAAACGCTGGGGAGTGGGTACTCCTTTCTGAATTCACTGCGTAGTGTACGGACCCTAGATATCATGGTATCATTGAAGCGATGTCACAGGTGAAAACATCCGATCAATGTTTCTTCGCGCCAAAACCAGAGGCCTTGCTCACTTTCGAGTCATTTGGTTGTGAGGTACGTTTCCTAGAAAATCGACTACCTTCTGAATTTTCGATGTATTAGAGGAGCAAACCTATGCGTAAATTTTTCACTCGCTCACCAATGAAGCAGAAGCGCCTCTTGGGGGCAGTGTTTGACGACAGGGTATACCTGAAGCGATTACTCGTCAATGAGTGTAAGTTGTGTCAAGGTTATCCACTGGATTCCAAATTGCCGCATTACCCTTTCCGTGTTATCATTGCGTACTTGCTTCAATAGCAGTTTTGAATTAACAGTTAACTACGTCGACGTTCCGACTCCAGAGACTACGGGTAATGCATGATCTTCCACCTTCATTGTTGGCTTAACTGCCTGACACCGGTGACGCACAAAAACCAGTGCACTTTTTCACTGTACTGAGAATGATGCAAGAACTGACAAGAAAGCAGGGTGGAAAGCAACGATCGTTTGACTTAGCCAACACCAAAAGCGGCTACGCATGACAAGACTGATTCCGGCGGACTGGTCATTCAATGGCCCCACCACCGCCTGTTCATTTGATGCATTTAGTGTATACTGTTGCATAAACAGGGTCTAATGCGTACCAAATCTGCGCCGATACATCTCAAAGCTGTGGTCACTCAAGTGGCATATCATTAGCGTGCTCTATCAACAAGTAACGAGGTTACATAGGAGTCACGAATGAAGAATCAAGTTCGAATAAACTCTCATCGACCTCAGTTCTAACCACCTGTGTTTTAACTGTTTAAGGCAGTGGTCGGGTAAACGTTCGGATCAGTGAGTTAAACCGGAGCTGTGTGTAACAGAGTAGGCAGACAAAAGGGGGAATAAATGCGGCAACTTTCCCGTCAGTGCATGCAAAACAAACAGGAAACAAACGGCCAACTCATAGTCAGCAACCACTGTTGTAGCACTTACGGCATGAGTCGCTTTTATCGCACACCTTACGTATTTGAAAACTACCGAAGCCTACGGTAAATTTTTCCGATACTTCATGATAGAGTTTGTGGACTAACTAAATGAGTGTGAATTTCACGTATTTTCTAGTCGTAAGTCGTCTTACATAGCATTGAACGGACGTTCCTTTCTGTTAGGACTTCTCTGCAGCTCGCGTTTGCATCACATTGTCAAAAGCCACGGAATAGTCATCTGAGGCTTCGTGGCGGATTCAAGCGGCGCAGAAACGATTTACGTGTAAGTGTTCATCACATCATACATCAATAACAACAGCACATTAGCCAACTGAATTGTTGTTTCGCCGCTGTACAACCATGGTGACCTATGGGATAAAGAATAATAAGCCGGAGAAAAGGGGACCAACCAGAAAACCTTAGTGACCTAAGCAAATATTCAGGGTCAAGGTGCCTACACCTTGTTTCAACCACATATCGTCATAAACAACTGGCTGTCTTGCAAAGATAACGCGGCATCAGCGAGACAGCTTCTTTGCGGCTTTCACTGCCCCATGTCATAATCAACCATTACCCCGCAGTTAACTAGTAGACGACAGCGGACACGCCACTGGTGTCGGTTGCGAGCGATGTCTTGTAACGTCTCGACCGAAGCACAAGACGGGCCACGTGGATTTCAGCCTGGAAGGCGAGACGTTTAGTGATCAACGACTTCCTTTCCCCAGGCTAAGTTAACTTTGGCCCACTTCGGGCCTTGCGCCATTCTAATGTGGCAGACAAAACAAGGTCCTCGGTAAGCGATAACGTGGCACATGCACAAGCTGACACAACCTACTCAGTGCTGTCTGTTGTTCTAGGGAGTTAGCATGATTATCACTACCTAGTACCTACGCACATCATCGTTACGGACACGCTGGTTCCATCCGACACCAGCAATGCTTCGCAGACAACGATGATAAAGACTTGAAAGTGCTTCATATCCTAAGACAAATGGGGCAAATTCTCACTCCCATAGAGCAGGACGGCACTCACTGTGGTCTTGTAAACAGGGCCTTTTAGACCAAGGGAAACTCCTTTCTTTCGCCAAAGATGTCGCAGAATCCAGAAGGAAATTCTAACCTTTGCAATACGTGGACTGAATTCAGACGCTGTGCGCACATCTTTGCTGATGCAATTGTCAAAGTAAGTGAGTTGGTCAACTACCACGAGTTCTTTGCTACTAAGTGGCTGAACTTATCACACTTTGAAGGTGCGAAACGCATACTAACTATCAGGACCACTCTAGAGAGGTTATTCCGGGCAGCTTGCGCAGCCCCAACATCCTTAAAAAGCAGGACGATTTCGTCCGCCTAATCGTTATCTGCTATCCTTTCACCAGGAAAGACCTCAACACTTGCATCGTGAGATTTCGAAGGGAAAACTCCATGATGGATTACAATAAGAAATTGAACATAAATGAAGAAACTGGGCAACCCTGATGAACGCCAATTGTTGTCGGAAAGGCATCCGTTAAGTCACCGTAGATCCTGACGCTACCTATCGCGCTTGAGTATAGGATACATGAGATCTTCACATGTTCCAAGGGAAAACTCTTGGGAGCAAGTCTCTTGAACAGTATTGATCGATCGACTGAGTCGAACGCACGGTTGCAGTCGAGGAAAACAGCTATTGTCGGTCTGCAACGCGTGGCGCTGCTTTAGCATCTTCCGCAAAGTGAATCCAATGTCTACATAGCCACATCCTGAGTAGAAACCTGCCTGCTCTTCCCCAAACTCGATAGGGACCCCTACCTGTGCTGACACTTGCTGTTGATCAGCCAGACGTCTTTCAGAAATATAATACCTTGACAACTGTACCAGCACATACGGCATAGACGATTAGAGCACGAGCCGTAAAGCAAAAGCTGGAGGAGATTTTGCCAGTCGCCGCCACGTGCGATATCGGCGCGACATTACTCTTGCGCTGTACGGTAAAGTCTACGATGCAACCGTCCTTTCAAACCGCCTGTAAAATTGTGCAACTTGGCCCATTAGATGGACGGGTGTAAGGAGGCTTGTTATGTCCGACATGATTGACTGTTGCTTGATATCCCCAGTGTGGCTGCGCTTGATGTGCATGTTGACAAGGTGCCTACCTGTCTATTACCCACTACCTCGTCCATGCTGGCTTTAGGAGACAATTGGTCTTTGCTGTAGGGGACGGGGTGCACAGTCCTTGTGACCGTGTTAGGCACGAAGTGTGGTTCCATGCACTCAGTGTGGAGCGGACTATTGTCCAGCCACCGCCTTTTGTGCGCTTGATTCCCCAAATACAATGTGCTTGTCTTTGCCTATGAAGGAGTGTGGGCCGGCTCCTTTGATGCAACGTAGCTCCCATCCACATGCCTCCCGGTCTTATTGCTTCCAGTTTACACTGGATATGGGATATGCGGGTGGTGCAGCCCAAGCCACCCATGATCCCGCTGTAGGCGCAGGCGTCTTGTGGCTGGCCAGTGACATGCAAATCCGAAACCGCATGCCGCCAACCATATGTCCGACAAACGGTGCCATCGCAGCTTAGCTCACATCTACTGGGAACGCAGCCTCAGCAACGAACATGTTTGTGGTTTTGTTTATGGCACAGGAAGAGCAAATATATTGCTCACCACCATTATACCATGTATCAGGCACAGATGGCTGGGCCATGTGTTATGCATGTCAGGACACCGACTCCTGCTAAGTGCACCTTTTGCGCGACCGGTGTGTGGATGTAGGAATAGGAGAGGCAGCCAACCAATGACTTGATCAAAGTGAGTAAACCCCTCAGTTCTTAGGTGCCTCAGTTGGGGCCTCCTAACTCCCCCGGTGGGGTCCAAATACCATGAACACGTTCGGTTGGATGCGGATGTTTGCGTGTAGAAGAACCGATCTCAATGGCATCTGTGTTGTGATTTTTCCCTCCTCCCACTATAACCGCCAACTCGATGTTAGTCATAATATAACAAAAAGTGGTTATATTTTTAATTGTGAATTCGCCTCAGCAGGTTCCAATTCAGATGTTCGTCTCAGCAGGTTCCAATTTAGCGGTTCATCCACATGCTCGGAAAAGCACTAGATTGCAATTACAGCCTTTTGAGCATCATCAGTAGTGCGCATCCATCAATTCCATCAGGATTCGAACCTATGACCACCAGCAATTTACCCCGCCAGTCAGCAGCTTCTGTCACTGGGCCAACGGGGGACAGCCTCGGACCGTCATGATTTACCAGCTAACTGCGCTGTCATGCTAGTTACGAGCGTTACAGAGAACAGAGTTGGCTTCGGAAGACACGACATCCACTGACGGTAGTTATGTGCAGCATAACAGAAACTGCGGCGACGAATTCTCAATTAAGTACATCAAAATCGTCTACTCATTGGTTATATTTTTGTGTTACTTGCTTGCCTTTGTTGTTTTTTATTCCTTTTTTATTACCATATTATTAGCTTGTATTGCGGCACAGTAGATGGGGTGTTTCTCAACGTTAGTTAATATGCAGAATGCTGATGATTTCCCCTCTGTCCCGCTGTGCTTCTTGAACCTTCTGACAAACTATCTAGTTGTCAAAACCGTTATCCCCACCATTGGATTCTGCCGATTTTTATTTTTTGGGAGGTGGGGGAGACGGGGTGAGCGTTCTTCGTGATCTTGTTAGACTCAAAGAGTTTCCATCCACTGTGAGGTGACCAACAGCCCAACTACCGTCCCGGGTATATCCGCTTCCAATGTTTCCCAGCTTTCATATCAATAATTTGTATTTTGAAGGAGTATGGGTCGTCTCCAAGTCAACCTTGTCTTCCATCCACATACCTGCCGGTGTTATTCCGACAAGTATATGTTAATAATGGTGCTTGGGGAACATGCAGCCTATATCCTTCAATGGTTTACCAAGTTTTGCCGGCCCGTAACCTTAAGCCTCATAAGGCTGCCTTTTAATCCGAGGACGCGAACTCAAGCCTACGTACGGACCGGGGGGACCCTCGCAGTGTTAATAACCTACGTGCGACTACTGATGGTTGCACGGCAGCAAACCGTCGGTACGCAGTACCGACGTACTTCTGATACCTTTTTTACTTTTTTTTACCAACTGTCCCTTGACATGGTAGCGGAATCGAGGCCACTCACGACTAAATTCAGGAGAATTTGGTTCGTCTCAGCCCCACCCCAGTACCTGGTCACAGACCGGTTCTCAAATGGATGCATTCCTGCGCCTGCTCTGGTCTCCAAGTTTAACTGCCTAACTCGT